TAAAAAGCCCTACACTTCACGCTTTAGACAATATATTTTCATTTTAAACTTAGGGGGTAAATATTTTGGATAAAAACCCTAATGTGGGAAAGAGACCATAAGTTGCTGCCAACATCAGGGAAGCAAGAATTGCAATGTCATGTCATTTTGACATTAGCTATTGATAATTTGACTAACGTAAACAATAAAATGAAATGTTCATAGTTTCATGCGGATGAAGTCGCACGGGAACAGCTAGTATAGTATATAGATAGCTCTCATAGTACAGGATATTAAATCACACTTAAATCGTCCTTTAGCTATCAACACTTCGCTAACTCTGTGAACTGTTACACCGTTCACATCAATTGCATAAATAATTGGAAAATTGCATACAAACGTCATTCGAGAGCGGGATCGCCTATTGAATGTACCAATGAACTATATCCGTCCACTGAATTATATAATTCGCGGGTTAACTGGATAAGTGCGAAGTACGAATCAACAATGATTGACAACTCATTTATATAAATGGCGAAAGTTTAGATCAAAATATCAAAACTTATTTCTTTTACCGACCCCTTTGAAAATCAATTTTTCGGCGCCCCCATTTAAAAAAAATTATAGAGACATTTAAAATACTATCTTACTATTATAAAAGCGAAAGTTTAGATGGATGTCTGTTAGAGTTTGTAGCGTAAACGGCTGAAGAGACCTCGATGATATTAGGCATAGATAGAGAGGATAGTCTGGAAGAACACATAGGCTTGCTTCTGTTTCTTTTTATTCCGCGCGGAAGGAGTCGCGGGCGAAAGCTAGTGTGAAGTACATTTATTTATTCTCATTATTTGTTATGGTCATTATTAATTTGAGAAAACAGTTTTTTTATTTCATAAGTTATAACTATAAATCTATCGATTCCAACTTCTATAAGAATAAAAATCGAATATCGATAAGATTCATGACTGATTTTACACAACCCATCCCTACTAAATTTAAAATGAATTGTCAAACTAATCTAAATTATTTAGACAAACTATGACTAAAGTTTCATTGAATATTTATTTGTTTATATATTATAACAAAAGATGGAGCTTTTTATCGTTTTATAAACTACTAGCTGTTGCCCACGACTTCGTCCGCGTGCTATTAGAAAACAGACGAACTATGTAAATAACGTGTCCCTCGGGAACCGGGCATTTTTTAGGGCTGAAGCTTACCCCATGTGTACTCCAGACTTTGTTTTATATCTGTACCAAATTTCAATAAGATATGTTGAACCGTTGCTGAATTATCGAGTAAACATTAAAATACGAAATTAATGCATCCCACGGAAACCGTAACTATTTCCGGGATAAAAAGTAGCCTATGTGTTCTTCCAGACTATCCTCTATATCTGTACCAAATTTCATCAAAATCTGTTCAGCCGTTTAGGCTACAAACTCTAACAAACATCCATCCATCTAAACTTTCGCATTTATAATATTAGTATGTTTTTATTACATGTTAATAAAACGAAGTACAAAACTTGGGTATTGAGCAAAAAAAATAAATTTAAAAGTTTACCTTATTCCAGTATCTATCGCTAAGAACTGCTTTATCATGTTCCTCATTATACGCAGTCTCCGCTTCCTGCAGATCTGCTCGGAACTTTTTAATATAACGCTGCGTCGCTGCGATACTCTCCGGTGGAGCTTGTACTCCCGCTTTTATCATACGATCTAATGTTTCTGGAAAAAATATATATGGAATTAACTAAACAGTGGTAACCGCTTTAACATCTTCGCTCAGGGCTCGCCCCAGCAATACCACGACCACACAAACACTTACCACTTACAATATGATATAAGTAAATAATACTTTTTTTTCTATAATATAATGTGGCAAACGAGCAGAGGCCACCTGAATCCACTG